GTCCATGAGCAGCCTCACAGCATTCCTAGGGCTCACAAGGATGCTCAGTTTGCTATTGGTGTCCAATCCTATCCCCTGGATCCTGTTCCCTGCCTGATCCTGTTCCCTGGATCCTGTCCCCTTGCCTGGTCCTGTCCCTTGCCTGATCCTATACCCTGCCTTTGGATCCTGTCCCTTGGATCCTATCCCCTGCTCCCTGATGTGATGGGGGCCATGTGGTCTCCCCCCACTGCTGGGACACAGCTGTATGTGACACCTTCTAAGCTGCTGCTTGTGGATTCCTGTTCCTTTCTGCTTCCAACCTCAAAGCTGCTCCTGTCCCTGCAGAATAACTCTGTTTCTCCCTCGGAGAGCCTGAGAGCCAGCGAGAAGCACAGGAGCTCCACCGACTACAGCATCGACTCCAAGAAGAGGAAAGCGGAGGAGAAGGACAGCATGAGTCGATATGTGAGGGACAGGAAAGCTCTGAGGGCCCTAGGGACATACTCAGCACCACTTTGGGTGGGAGACAGGGGGATTTGGGTAGGATTTCCCAGGTGATCTGTGTCATACAGTCATGGAATCATTAAGGTTGGAAAAGCCCTTTAAGACCATTGAGTCCAACCTCTCTTTGGCACTGCCAAGGCCACCACTAACCATGTCCCCAAGTGCCACATCCACGTGGCCATTAAATCCCTCTTGTGGGGGCTGTGTGTGCTAGTGATGGGACCTCATCTGTTGGTTGTCCATCCCTTCTCTACCCAGAACAAGGGGGCTGGGGGTGCTGGTAGTGGAATCTTACCTGGTGGATGTTCCATCACTTCTCTACCCACTGCCTTGGGCAGCCCATTCCAATGCTTGACCACCCTTTCCATGAAGAAACTTTCCCTGACATCCAACCTAAGCGTCCTGCAGCTTTGGGAGGGTAGTTCAGCTCCCAGGGAGGGGTTGTCCTCACCCCAAGGGTTGGAGCTCTGTGCAGGTGTAACTCACTCTGTGTTCCAGGACAGCGATGGTGACAAGAGCGATGACCTGGTGGTTGACGTCTCAAATGAGGTGAGACCACCCTGAGGGTGTTCTGATGGGTCTGCTTCTCTCCCCATGGCACTGGGGAGGTTTGGGAGGTGATGCCTTGGGGACCTCCAGCAGCACCATGGTTCTTGATTGTAGGAGGATGTGGAGGGAGCCCATGGTGCCATAGAGGGTTTCAATGCTTTCTCCTGTCCCACAGGACCCTGCCACCCCCCGGGTCAGCCCAGCCCACTCCCCCCCAGAGAACGGCCTGGACAAAGCTCGTGGGCTGAAGAAGGGGGATGCACCCAACAGCCCTGCCTCGGTGGCCTCCTCCAGCAGCACTCCCTCCTCCAAGACTAAAGACCTGGGTCATGTATGTCCTGCACCCTGCTGGGGCCCTCTGGGGCTGGGGAGGCTGTAGGGACTGGTGGTGGGAGCTCATCTGTTGGTTGTCATCCCTTCTTCACCCAGAACAAGGGGGTTGTGGGTGCTGGTGGTGGGACCTTGCCTGTTGGGTGTTCCGTTCCTTCTCCGCTCAGAATGAGCGTCACTGAGGGTGGTGGGACCTCGTTGGTCAGTTGTCCATCCCTTCTCCACCCAGAACGAGGAGGGCTGTGGTTGCTGGTGATGGATCCCCTCACCCATTGGGTGTTCCATCCCTTCTCTGCCCAGAATAAGGCAGCTGTGGGTGCTGGTGGTGGGACCTCACCTGTTGGTGTTCCATCCCTTCTCCCCCCAGAACGACAAAGCGTCGACGCCTGGGCTGAAGTCCAACACTCCGACACCGCGGAACGACGCTCCCACCCCAGGGACCAGCAGCACCCCAGGGCTGCGGCCGATGCCTGGCAAGCCCACAGGCATGGACCCCTTGGGTAGGTACCTGTCCCCTGTAGCACTGTGTGGTGGTGGTGTCCCCTGCACAGCTTCAGCTCTTCCCTGCCAATGGGGCACAGCAGCTTGGGGGTTATGGAGGACATAATCCAGGTCAGGGCATGTGTCACCAGCTCAGGTGGTTCCTGTGGAGGGCATCAGAAGGAATTTCTTCATGGAAAGGGTTGTTAGGCATTGGAAGGGACTATCCAGGGAGGTGGTGGAGTCACCATTCCTGGAGGTGTTCAAGGAACAACTGGACATGGCACTAAGTGCTGTGGCCTAGTTACCAAGATGGTGATGGGTCACTGGTTGGACATGAAGGAAAATACTCAATGGAAAGGGCTGTCAGGTTTTGAAATGTGCTGTCTAGGGAGGAAGTTCACCATCCTTGGAGTCATTCAGGGAACGACTGGACACAGCACTCAGTGCTGTGGCCTAGTTGCCAATGCAGTAATGGATCACAGGTTGGACTCAGTGATCTCAGAGATCATCTCTAACCACGATGTCTCCATGGCTGAGTGAGACACAGGGACAGGCTCACGGGTGGAGAACAATGACATCTGTAGTTCTCCACCCCTGACCCTGTCCCCTATCTCCCTCAGCCTCAGCCCTGCGGACGCCGATCTCCATCGCGGGGTCGTACGCAGCACCGTTCGCCATGATGGGGCACCATGAGATGAATGGGTCCCTGACCAGCCCCGGGGCCTACGCGGGGCTGCACAACATCCCTCCCCAGATGAGTGCTGCTGCTGCCGCCGCCGCTGCCTACGGCCGGTCACCAATGGTGAGCTTTGGAGCTGTACGTAGCACTTTTAGCTCCTTCTCTCCCTGGGGAGGGTTGGGGAGGTGGGAGAGGTCTCCCCTGGGTCAGCTCCTCACTGGTGGTGGTGTAGATCAGTCACTATTGAAGGGCTGGAGATGCCTCCACATGGGTGTGATGTGCATGTCCCATTGCATTGGCCTTTCTCATTCCCATTGCTCAGCTCCATTCCCGTTACTTTTGCTTCATCACACATTGGAAGGCAAAACACAGTGAAAACACTGTTGAAGGGGTGGAGATGCCTCCACATGGATGATGTGCATATGTCATTGTACTGGGGTTTCTTCTTCTCATTGCTCAGCCCCTTTGCCATTACTTCATCACACATTTGGAGGCAAAACACAGTGAAAATAGGAAGCCAAACACTGTCATTAATGCAGAGATGGAGATTCTGCAGCTTGTCTGCTCCTGTCCCTGAGGATTTGGGAGCAGCACAGGGAGGGGGAGCATGGCCCATGCTGGTCATGGCAGCCCCAAAACGTTTGGCTAATTCCCCTTTCTGCCAGGGGAAGAACAACTAGACCTTTGTCTCATTCCATACTCCTTCCCCTTTCTGCCATAGGAAAAAGAACTCACTAGACTTTAGCTAATTCCACACATCTTCCCCTTTCTGTCAGGGGAGAAAAGAACAACTAGACCTTTGGTTAATTCCACACTCCTTCCCCTTTCTGCCATAGGAAAAACAATTAGACCTTTGGCTAATTCCACACCACACTCCCCAATTAGACCTTTGGCTAATTCCACACTCCTTCCCCTTTCTGCCAGGGAAAAAGAACCAACTAGCTAGTGAGCAGCAAGGGAAAAGAGGAGCTGTTGAGTGTCCCTGTGGGTGGGAAGCTGTTTGCTCATGTGTCCATTCTGTGTGTGGCCTCACCTGTGTCCCTGTGTCTGTTGGCAGGTTGGTTTTGACCCACACCCACCCATGAGAGCCCCTGGGCTGCCCTCCAGCCTGGCATCCATCCCTGGAGGGAAACCGTAAGCTCCTCTTGGTCTTTGGGTGGGTTTGGGGGGATGAGTGTGGCTGGGAGGGACTTCACCCAGGACTGGCTCTGCAGAGCCTCCAGTGAGCAGCACTGAGGTGCATGAGGTGGGCTGCAAACCTCCAGGACAAGGAGGGAGGTCCAGCCACTGCATGTCTGGGGTTAGGACAAGAGGATTGGAGTCACCATCCCTGGAGGTATGCAAGGAATGACTGGACACCTCTGGGAGGTTTGGGTTGGCCAGCAAGCCATGAGCATCCCTGAGGGTTATAAGATGTGCTGCAAACCTCCACCTCCAGGGCAAGGAGGGAGGTCCAGCCACTTCATCTCTGGGGTTAGGACAAGAGGAGTGGAATCTCCATCCCTGGAGGTGTTCAAGGAATGACTGGACATGGCTCAGTGTTCTGCTGTGAGCCTTCTGGGAGATTCAGGTTGGACATCAGGATGAATTTCTCTATGGAACAGGCTGTCGGGCATTGGAATGTGCTGCCCAGGGGAGTGGAGTCACCAGCCCTGGAGGTGTCCAAGAAATGACTGGACATGGCACTCAGTGCAGTGGTCTGAGCACTCTGGGAGGTTCAGGTTGGCCAGCAAGCCAAAAGCAACACTGAGGGTCATGAGGTGGGCTGCAAACCTCCACCAGCCACTGCATCTCTGGGGTTAGGACAAGAGGACAGGGTGTCATGCTGTGCCAGAGAAGGTTCAAGCTGGACATCAAGAGGAATTTCTCCATGGAAAGGGCTATCAGGCATTGGGAGGGGCTGCCCAGGGAGGGGATCTAGTCTCCATCTCTGGAGGTGTTCAAGGAACAACTGGACACAGCTCAGTGCTCTGCTCTGAGCCCTGTCTGAGGTTCAGCTTGGCCAGCAAGCCATGAGCTCCCCTGACGGACATGAGATGCACTCCAAACCTCTTCCTCCATGCTGAGCCCCCTTTCTCCCTGTCCTGGCAGAGCCTACTCGTTCCACGTGAGCGCGGACGGGCAGATGCAGCCGGTGCCGTTCCCACACGACGCGCTGGCAGGGCCTGGCATCCCACGCCACGCGCGCCAGATCAACACGCTGAGCCACGGCGAGGTGGTGTGCGCCGTCACCATCAGCAACCCCACGCGCCATGTCTACACCGGTGGCAAGGGCTGCGTCAAGATCTGGGACATCAGCCAGCCGGGCAGCAAGAGCCCCATCTCCCAGCTTGACTGCCTGGTAAGGGGCACTGGGGGCATTGGCGTGTGCTGGGGTGGGAAGGGAGCTGTGCTGGGGTGGTGCTGGGCCTTGTGTGTGTGTTCTGCTTTCCCACACCTCTAGTGCAGTTAGCATCTTCTCGCTGATGTCAATATCTCTTCCCTGTGTTGCCATCTGGTTTTCCTCGTTCCCCCTGTTGTTATCCCTTTCCCCTTTGTTCCTGTTGCCCTCCCTTTCCCCTTCCCTTTAACATCCCTTTCCTCTGCTTCCTATTATCATCTCTGTCCCCTTACTGTCTTTTTACACTTCCTATCTCTTCTTCCTGTTACCTCTCTTTGCCCCTCCTTAATGTCTTTTTTCCTCTTCCACCCGTCAACATATTTTCCTCTCTCCCCTACTGCTCTCCCTTTTCACTTCCCCCTCCATCAACCTCCTTTTCCTCTTCCCCTCCTTAATGTCCATTTCTTCGTCCCCTCCATCAACATCTCTTGCCCTCCCTTTCCTCTTTCCCATCATCACCGTCTCATTTACCCCATTATCACCCCTTTCATCTTCCTTCCATCACCATCCCCTTTCTGTTCCCCTCACCATGTCCTTGCCCCCCTCATCCCCTCCTCACCCCCTCACCATGAGTCTCCCCCCAGAACAGGGATAACTACATCCGCTCGTGCAAGCTGCTCCCGGATGGGCGCACGCTGATCGTGGGTGGCGAGGCCAGCACCCTCACCATCTGGGACCTGGCGTCCCCCACCCCTCGCATCAAGGCTGAGCTCACCTCCTCTGCCCCTGCCTGCTATGCCCTGGCCATCAGCCCCGACGCCAAAGTCTGCTTCTCCTGCTGCAGCGACGGCAACATCGCCGTCTGGGACCTGCACAACCAGACCCTTGTCAGGTGAGCTGGGAGGGGTGGGAGCACCTGCACAACCAGGCCCTGCTTAGGTGAGCTGGGAGCACCTGTGCAACCAGGTGAACTGGGAGAGATGGGAGCACCTGTGCAACCAGACCCTTATCAGGTGTGCTCAGAGGGATGAGTGCTGCTTTGCTTGGAATTGAGGTCTTCCTGGCTGTGGTTTGATGTGAGGACCTTGGGGCTCATGGAATGAATTGGGTTGGAAGGACCTTAAAGCTCACCTTGTCCCACCCCTGCCATAGGCAGGGACACCTCTCACTAGCCCAAGTTGCTACAAGCCCCATCCAGCCTGGCCTGGAACACTCCCAGGGATGGGGAGCCCACAGCCTCTGTGGGATGGTGCCAGGAACACTGTTGTGGTGCTCATCTCTTAAACCAGCCCAGTAGGCTTGGCTAGGCTGGTGCTCCTCACCCAAGGATGCTCCTGAGTGGCTTTCCAGGTGTGGATAAGCCTCATAACTGTATCCTGAGCACCATGCACCAACCTTCATGCTTCTCCAGGTGCTCTCCTTGAAGATTCAACAAAATGAAGTTTAAGGTCCTACATCTGGGCCATGGCAATCCCAGGCACAGCTGCGGCTTTGGTGGGGATGTCATTGAGAGCAGCAGTGAGGAGAGAGACTTGGGGATGATGGTGGATGAGAAAGTCACCGTGAGCTCAGCCCAGAAACCAGCCCAGTCCTGGGCTGCCTCCAAAGGAGTGTGGGCAGCAGGTCAAAGGAGGTCATTCTCCCTCTCTGCTGTGCTCTGGTGAGACCCACCTGGAATCCTGCACACAGTTCTGTGCCCTCAGCATACGAAGGATGTGGAACTGTTGGAGCAAGTCCAGAGGAGGCCACAAAGTTCCCAAGAGGACTGGAGCATCTCCCCGATGAGGACAGGCTGAGGAAGTTGGGACTGTTGAGCCTGGAGAAGAGAAGGTTGTGTGGAGACCTCAGAGCAACCTGCCAGGAGCTGAAGAGGCTCCAGGGAAGCTGCAGAGGGACTTGGTTAGGAGCTGCAGTGATAGGACAAGGGGCAATGGATACAAATTGAAGGAGGGGAAATTAGGGTAGATATTAGGCAGATGTTTTTCCCTGTGAGCATGGTGAGACACTGTCCCAGGGTGCCCAGGGAGGTTGTGGCTGCCCCAACCCTGGCAGTGCTCAAAGCCAGGCTGGATAAAGCCTTGAGTAACCTGTTCTAGTGGGAGACATCCCTGCCCAGGGCAGGGGGTTAGCACTGGATGGTCTCTAAGCTCCCTTCCAACTCCTACAGTTCTCTGATTCTGTGATTTCCATTCCTTTTCCTGCTTCCCAGGCAATTCCAAGGGCACACAGACGGTGCCAGCTGCATAGACATCTCCCACGACGGTACCAAGCTGTGGACGGGAGGGTTGGACAACACCGTGCGCTCCTGGGACCTGAGGGAGGGAAGGCAGCTCCAGCAGCACGACTTCACCTCCCAGGTAACGGGCTGGGAATGTTCTGAGGCATGGATTTATCCCTCCATGGAAAGCAGGAACTCCTCCTTGGCACCTGGCTCATGCCCACTGTGGGATGAAGCTTTCTGTTCCTGTTGCTTTTGGGCTAACCCAGGAGTGTTGTAGTCAACAGGAGCTTTGGGGCTCCCTGCATCTTGTTCCAGCCCCTCTGGCATCATTTTTCCATCCCTGCAAAATGCTGTTAGGAAATCAGCACTTCCCATGGGATGTCCATGGGGGTTACAGGGTTCTCTGGGTGACCTGTGGGTGGGAGGGCTGCAGGGATCAGAATCCTGCCTCCTCCTCCAGACCTTCCCAGAGCTCTTCTTCAGAGGGGCAAAGCTGTGTCTTGGCACGTGCAGCACTATCCATGGGGCTGGAGCCATCCTGGGGTCCACAGGTCTCATGTGGCTGTTCCGAACACATGGATGTGCCTCTCCAGACCTGCTGTGTGTCTCTTTAGGTGTCACGCCTCCGCCAGTGCCATAGATCCCAAAAATGGTTGTGTTGGAAGGCACCTTGAAGACTCTCCCAGAGTCCTTATCCATAGGGACAAATCTGGGCCCTTGTGTCCTCTTGGCATGAGCAGCAGCATCTGTGGGGTCCACAGGCCTTGTGTGGCTCTTCCAAACATATGGATGTGTCTCTCCAACCCTGCTGCACCTCCTTGGGCCTGGCCAGGAACCTTTAAACTCTTCAGGGCTCCTCCACCAGTGCCATAGATCCTGTCATGGTTGGGTTGGAAGGACCTTGAAGCTCATCTCACTCCAACCCTGCTGCCATGGGGGGCTGTGGGCAGAGCTGGTGGGTGCAGCCCCCCTGAGCACCTCTGTATCCCGCTTCCCACTGCAGATCTTCTCTCTGGGGTACTGCCCAACGGGGGAGTGGCTGGCAGTGGGCATGGAGAGCAGCAATGTGGAGGTGCTGCACCACACCAAACCTGACAAGTACCAACTGCACCTCCATGAGAGCTGTGTCCTCTCCCTCAAGTTTGCCTACTGTGGTAAGTGGCTCCAGCCTGGAGTTTGGCTCCTCTGGCCCCTTTGGGGATGGGTTGGGTTGGAAGGGACCATGTGATTGCACCCACACTGACAACTTCCACTAGCCCAGGTTGCTCCAAGCCCCATCCAACCTGGCCTGGAACACTCCCAGGGATGGAGCAGCCACAGCTGCTCTGGGAAATCCGTTTCAGTGCCTTAGCACCCTCACAAGGAACAATTCCTTCCCAATATCCCATCTTCCTGGACATGTTCCACCAGCCCAGCTTGCTCCAAACCCCATCCAGCCTGGCCTGGAATGTTCTTAGTGATGGAAAACAGGGATAACCACGAACCAGAGCAGGAAGGAATGATGCATGGCACAATGGCTGGGAGCTGAGCATGGAGAATTCCAGCAGAATCCATCCCATGGATGGTGGTTTATCCCCATAAGACCATCTCAGTTGTGGTTGCAAATGGCCACATGGCAGTGCAGGAGATGGGAAGCTGCTCCTGCCCTGTGTGGGTGCTGGGATGCATCCCGAAGGAGGACTGGAAAGCTCACCAGGGATTCTCCAGGTTTTCCAGTAGAGGCTGAGGTCCAAGAGCCTGTGGGGCCAGGGAGAGGTTGGCCACAGGATCTGGGAGGCGAGTGGCACTGTTCCTTCAGCTGATTCCATGTTTCCTGGGCACAGGGAAATGGTTTGTGAGCACTGGGAAAGACAACCTGCTCAACGCCTGGAGGACACCCTATGGAGCAAGCATCTTCCAGGTAGGAGCCTGATCCTGTAGGGAATGGGGTGGGAGCTGCTCCCAGATCTTTCTTGGCATCATCCTGGGGCTGCCAGCCCTGGAGAGTGAGGAGATCCTGGTGGGATGGCTGGATGGGGATATGGGATGGGGTGGTGGCACCAGCATGGATGGGGATGGGTGTGAGACAGGGAGAGCAGACTGGTGGGAATGGGGACACATGGAGAGCAAACTGGTGGGAATGGGACCATGGGGATGGGACACAGGGAGCCCAAAGTGATGGGTGTTTTCTCCTCCTCCCAGTCGAAGGAATCCTCATCTGTGTTGAGTTGTGACATCTCAGCAGATGACAAGTACATCGTCACGGGCTCTGGGGACAAGAAGGCCACAGTCTACGAGGTGATCTACTAACCCTGGAACTGATGGCAGGGCTGGAGCTCCAGGCCCCGTTGGCAGCAGGACGTGGGAAGCACCAGGGGGTGCCCCAGGGGCTCCCCCATGGACCAGCACATCCTTGGCCTCCTCCACCCATGGATTTCTTTGGAGCTCTGCAACTCTGGCACACATTGAAGCCCTAAAAAAAATGGATTTTCCGTGGCTTTTTAGGGTTTTTTGGGGGTTTTCTTTGGATTTCTTTTTGGTTTCCTCGTTCCTTGGGCTGTGCTTTGGTGGCACTTCTAAAGGACTTGTTTTTTATTGGGACTTTTTTTTTTTGTTGTGCAGCCTCTGCATAAGACTTGTGAAAAGTGTAAATAACAGACTAGTAAATAGCATTGGAAAGGGGAGGGAGGAAAACCCTCCTGGTACACTAGTTGTGTATTTTTGTCTGCTGTAATTGTATTCCACTGATGGTTTTGGTGGTGGCAATTTTCTTAGGGGTTTATTTTTCCTTCCCTCCCTTTGGAATCATCCATTGGGATGTGATTTTTGCCCCATCCAGAGCTGGTGACAAAGTTGTTCCTCCTGTTGTCCCTGTGCTGTTTGTTGGGTGTGTTTGAAGTGCTGGTTTGGGAGCACAGGGAATGGCTCAAATCCTGACCAGGACATCAACACAATCACCTTTGGGGGGGTTTTATATCTGGATTTATCCCTATTTTTGGTTGTTTTTTGGGCCATGCTTGGATGTTTGAAGCAAAGGGAAGCATCTGTGCAAGCCCTTCTTGCTCTTCAGCCAGAAGCACTGAGGAGTGAGCTCAAAGAAAGCTTAGTAACCTTCAGCTCAGGGAGCCACGAAAGAGAATAAGCAAACTTCATGTTGTTTTGTATTCAAATGGAAAAGTAAAAGAATTAGAATTGAATAACCTTTCAGAAAACAAAGCAAAAAAAAAAAAGACAAAAAAATACAGTTTTTTTTAAAAGCAAAAAAAAAGTTTACTAACAACTTAGGGTTTGTGTGTGGTTGGGAGGAGGGAAAAATGGGGTTGTGGTGGGAATTGAGCCTTGGGGGGGTTGTGTGTGATGGGTTTAGGGCATCAACTCACTCCCCTCACAGGCCTTGTGGACTAGAGGGGGGGAGAAAGGGAATAAAAAGGACCAAAAAAGGTAAAAGACAAAATAAAAAAGGACAAAGAAAGCAAAAAAGGACAAAGGACAAAAAAAAGGACAAAGAAAGGGCAAAAAAGGGACAAAAAGAAGAGAAAAGCCAAGGAGACTTAATGGGTAATAAAAGTTTGTGTGGCACTAAGCTCACCTGGGTTGGAGCATATGGAAAAGGAGTTTTATAGGGGTTTTATGGGTTATTTTTGGCCATTGGAGTCTGTGCCCAAAGGAGGAATGGGGAGGGGAGAAGGTTTGGAGAGGAGGAGGAGGAGTTGGAGCTTGAGGTGCTATCCCATCCTCTACCTGCTCTGGGCTTGGGAGAGGCAAAGTGGGTTTGTAAGGAGAAATCTCCAGGGAAATCCAATTTTTCCTGCTAAGATTGCCTATTTTGGAGATGTTTTGCCCTTTTCCAAGGCCGAATGAGGGAATGTCGCAGCACTGTGGGTGCAGGAGGATGGGGGCAAAGGGGTTTGTGTGGCACTGAGCTCATCTGGGTTGGAGTAGATGGAAAAGGATTTTTATAGAGGTTTTATGGATTTTTTTTGGCCATTGGAATCTGGGCACAAAGGAGGAATGGGGAGGGGAGAAGATTTGGAGGGGGGAGAGAGAGAGAGTTGGTACCTGGCATTGCATCCCTCTGAGGAGCTGTTATCCCATCCTCTACCTGCTTTGGGCTGGGGAGAGCCAAAGTGGCTTTGGAAGGAGAAATCTCTAGGGCAATCAGATTGTTCCTGTCAAGGTCAGATGAGAGAAGCAAGAGAAGGGCTGGGAATGCTGTGGGTGGGTTGGGAGGTACAGGGCACTCCTTGCCAGGGACCTCCTCACCCTTGGGGTGATGGAGGAAGAGCTGAGCTCAGGGTTGGTGGGAGAAACCCCAGAGCTCCCAGTCCTTGGCATCAGCCCATCCTGGGGGGTTGGGAAGAGCTGCTGGGGGATAGATGACTCAGGCACCCCAAATCCCATCTTTCCCTCTTCCATCCCAAAGGTATCACCTAGCTGTGTTGATTCTGCTGCTTGGGGATGCAGGGAAAGGGCTGGGAAGAGGAGACCTCCTAGGGCAGGGTCCCCTCTTCCCATCCTTCCCTTTTCCATCCCAGAGACATCCCCCAGGACCCTTGTTTCTGCTGCTGCAAGGACTTGGGATGCTGGGAAGAGGAGACCATCCAGTGCAGAGTCCCCAGACCTCATCCTTCCCCTTTCCATCCCTAAGGTACCACCCAGCTGTGTTGTTTCTGCTGCTGCAAGGACTTGTGATGCAGTGAATGGGCTGGGAGGAGAAGATTCAGCACCTGGGGGTGCCACAGCCCTCGGGATGCCCATGGGACTGAGTTAGACAGCTCCCAATCCATGGTATGAGCACTGGAATTCCCGAGCTCCAGCCTGGGCATCCCTGCCAGAGCCAAAGCACTTCCCATGAACTAGGACATCTGTAGGGTCCTGCAGGAGCTGCTGCTGATGGATTGAAGGTGACAGGCTGTGCTGTGAGGGAGCACTGAGGAGCAGGAGCAGCACTCTGCCTGCTCAGCTTCCCCTTAATGGACACTGGGAAACACTTCCCAGTGCTCTGAGCTGGGATTGGAAGCACCATGGAACTCAGGGAACCATTAACAGACCCACATTGCCAGCAATTCTTGCTTGGAAGGTTGGGAGAGCTCAGGGCAGGGGAGTGGAAGGGACCCACAGCCCTCCCAGCACCTCCTCACTGCTCCTTCAGCTTCCAACACCTTCCTTCAGCTGCAGCTTCAGCTTCCAACAGATCCAACATACTGTTGCCATTTGCAGGTAATTTGGGTTGATTCCATCCATCCACCCACAGAACCCCAGGACAACATGCTGCCCCTTCCCCTTCCCTCCTCCTGAGCTCCATGCCCAGGGGGCAGCTCAAATTGGGGGTGCTCAGGGCACATCTCACCTTGGGGGTCCCCAGGGAACAGCTCACCCTGGGGATGCCAGGACACATCTCACCTTGAAGGTGCCCAGGGCATCTATCACCCTGGGGATGGGGTGCCCAGGACATCTCACCCCCAGCAGGACCCCAGGGGGTGCCCAGGATCCCTTTCCATCCCTCCCGCTGCAGCCAATGCCTGATGCCCCTGGGCCAGAAGCAGATGGCAAAGGATGCTCAGGGCCACCCTCAGCTCTTGTTATCCCTGGAAATTCTGCTGGCATCGCTCAGCCCCCAGTGTTAATTACGCTAATTGGGCTCTGATGACTGATCGTGCCTTGCCATTGTGTGGGTGCTGCACACACTGAGTTACCAACGAGTTCCTTCAGCTGCTTGAAGGTGTCATCACTCCCCATGGCTCAGCTCAGACAGCAGCACAGCGATGCCTTACAATGCTTCTCGCTTCCCTCTGCGCTGCTGCTTCACTCAATCCCAGCGGGAAAGTGCAGGAAGAGATAAAAACTAATTTGGCTTAATCCCTCTTGGAAAAAAAAAAAACCCAACAAACCAACGCAACAAGTGAAAAGCAAAACACAACAGCAAAGATTTAAAGCCTGAAGAGCTTTTGCATGCTGAAAACATGTTTAGCAAGGGTTGGTGCACTGAGCCTGTGGCAGGAGCTGCACCACAGGGAGGTGGTGGCACTAGGGGCTTGGGACGAGAGATAGGATGAAGGACAGGATCCAAGGAATGGCTTCACACTGGAAAAGGGGAGATATGAGTGGGATATGGGGAGGGAATTGTTCCCTGTGAGGTGCTCAGGCACTGGAATGGATTTCCCAGAGCAGCTGTGGCTGCTCCAACCCTGGGAGTGTTCCAGGCCAGGCTGGATGGGGCTTGGAGCATCCTGGGCTGGTGGGAGGTGTCCCTGCCCATGGCAGTGGTGGGATGAGATGACTTTCCAAACACCTACCCAAAATCCCACCACTTCCCTGGATTCCTCTGCCTGTCAGTGACACTCTTGTCCCCAAGTCTGCCCCCTCCACCAGCCACCAATGCTGCAGGGTCTTACCCTGCTCGGGCGGGTCTCTATTGACTTTAAATCTTCTCCTTTCTCACCCCTCCTTGCCCGAAGCAGGTGTGGGATGAGCCATGCTGCATCCTGCAGAGCATCCCTGACTGCTGCCTGGGAAAAGCCCCATGGCATGGCCCTTCCATGGCTCAGGAATCAAATGATGGGATAATTACCCCCTATTTTGGGGGAGGGAACCTCCCTCAGAGAGGTCTGGGGAGGTGTGGAGGAGCTCATAACTGTGTGTGTGAGCACACACGTGTGTCTGTGCATGCAGCTCCCTTATCATCTGCCGCATCTTCCCCTCGAGGCTGTTTCTGGGATTTTTTTGGCTTTTCTGTGGAACAATCAAAACTTTCATTGTAGCAAAACCTTTGCCTGGTTAAAATGAGAGTCGTTAATTCCAGGGAATTGTTTCATCTCAGCTCAAGAGTCATAATGAAGCTCTTTTTTTTCTTTACAAGCTGCATTGGTGAGCAGCCAAGTTCCTCCAGGGGAATTCCTGGGTAGTGTTGATCCCGCTGGAATTTACCTTGGGAAGGCAAAAAGAAGAGGAAGGGAAAAAAAAAAAAAAAGGATAAAAAAAATCAAAAGGCAAGAAAAAAAGCAAGGTTTCAATGCTCAAATGCTGCTATTCATAACAAGATGTTATTGAGCTCAGCCATTCACTGAGAGCTCACAGATGGAGCCAAGGCTTGGCCACAACACACTCCCACATCACTTCCCTCCCTCAGCCAGAGCTTGGGAGCACTTGAGAGCCTTGGGAAAGCCTTGGCAAAGCCAAGGGGACACTGCCCAGGGCAGGGCTGTCCTCAAAATCCAGCTCTGCCTCCAAAGTCCAACCCAGCGCTGAGTATTCCATCAGCTCCTGTGTAATCCTGTGGAGCTGAGCCCCTTGGGCATGGCTTGGGGCCT